TTTTTTTTTTTTTTTTTTTTTTTTTTTTTTTTTTTTTTTTTTTTTTTTTTTTTTTTTTTTATGTAGATTAGCTAGATTTTTGAATGAAACATTTGGCATAAACTTCCAAAAATATCTCTCCGTCTCTCCTAGTTTTGCACTAGTCATGCTAGTTCGTACATCTAGGATTTTTAGAATTTTTTACACACGACCACAACGGTACATTAATTTGATAACTTGTTTTATTACGCATTGAAACGGAAAAAATATCATTACAATACGTAAGGAGGGTACCAACAAATTTTGGTAAAAAGTTTTGACTTTATCCTGTTTTATACAATTAGTGTAAAAAAATTTATTGCCATTAATTTGATAATTTTTAACAATACATACAATTTACTGTTGCAAAAAAAAAGTCAAGTTTTCCTCTTTGACGATTTCTTCTACGTACTAATTATTACACAAAATTACTATCGGAATATTTAAAGTTGCATTTTCATTTGAAACCCTATCAAATAATTATAGTTTCAATATTTATTTTACAATAAATTTGGTTCAAATTTTTTTTTAACAACTTTAGTAATCATCAAAACTAAGCTTTTATTGTTTTCTCCTGATACAAAGTGTGAAGAAGTAGCTCATGTAATTTAAAATTACTCTAAATTAAAAACATTTTTGATTAGAAAGAGGAAATATATTTAAAAACATCACTCGTATAGTTCATAAAATATTGCGAAAATATCATACGTTGAATACTATTGAACATAGAATATGACGAAAATAGCTTGGCAACGGTTTAAAACTTTTGCTTTAAAGTTTAGAAAATTGAAAATCTTAGTAGAAAAAAAAAATTGTACACATGAACGTACTTTCCCCGATAATCCACAAAAATAGTAAAAATCAGTATTACTGAAGTTACGAGTATTGGAGTTTGCAAGCCAATCACAAAAACTTGCCCTGCAGCAATCGATCAACTTTTGAACGAAGCCGAAGCAAGGCAAGAGTTATCCAGTAAAAAAGTACACCAAGCAGAAATTTCTGCTATTCACATCTTTGAAATAAATAAAAATCCATTGAAATAACAATATCAGTAGGCTTAACTAATCCAACTTTCTAGGGTGTAACCGAACATTTAAAAAAATCTTCGTCTACTCACCAAATTCTCCATTAATCGCAGTTTTGGGTGTATCACTATTTTTAAATGTACCTCTTCCTTTCTCCCTTAGCTTTGAAATTACTTGTCACGCACTACTTCGAGAGTCATTCATAAAATCACAGGTTGAAACCACTTGTTGGGCACTCGTTGACTCGAAACCATTTACAAGCCGCAATCACGGCGGACGTCTCTTTTATAGACGCTTGTAGTCTCGCTCGCGTATATACTCTTTACCTCCTCCTCCTCAATCGTCAAGACATTCGCGCGTTTAATTGTACGCCGTTGGCTGACTGGACGCCTTTCTCTCGTGCCACCTGACACAAATGAGTCTCTGTCAAGAGAACACGGCAGCTCGGCTTGGCAAATTGTCGCTCTTTGGCTGTAACTAATGAAGTGCTCGGATTGTCCAACGTTTAACTTTGGATTAAGAGGGATTCTGGTGCATAACTGTTCGACAGCGGCTTCTCGTGCGAAGTAAATTATTTGAAGAATCCGAAAAATCCATCACTTGCCTTACAGTGATTACTTCATGCCTGCATGCTGATGTCATGTTATATTGTGTTATGAAACATGGATTTAAAAGGAGAGATGTAAAGGGGGTCTTCAAACATGTGAATCAAAAATTGTTTTACTAATAAGCACCATTGAATATTATCAAAAATGAAAGGAATGCATTGATAATTCTACAGGAATAAAATTAAAAGTATGAAATGATTGAATTCCTAGTATCTGCATGAACCTTAACTGCATTCAATCAAAGGTCATAGAGAGTCCGTTTACATAATTTTTTTACCACACCCAAACAAGAGTCCCAGAGTTCATTTTACCTTCATCGGAATACGATGGAAAAAAAAACAAGATCTCATTAGTTCGCTTCCATTCTCGTTTGACCAACCAACAAGTTTAGCTTAGCAGATCTCTTGTACTTCCTACATGAGTATTCATAGCTATGTATGTTTCACTACTTACCTTTGGTACTCCTTCAGGCGTTGTCTTGGAAATCTCATGCTTTGACAAAGAATTTTTCAAATAAGATTCATATCACGTCTTCTTGTGTGTATACAGCAAGTATGCAGATGGTCATTTCCATGGCAAAGTTTGCTTGGAAAATGTGTATGCTTTATTTCCAAAACTACACCAACGGTGACTTATTTTCCGAAGACGTTGTAGCTGGAGAAACAAGAAGCATGGACGTACTATTTCACAGAATTATTATCGTTACAACAAGGTTTTTTGTCATATAAATTAATTCAAAGCATTAAATTTACTCAAAATTAGAGTCAACATTGTGTTAGAAGCTAAATAAAGCTCTAACTTGTCAACAATTGAATTTTATTGAAAGTTACTTTTTTGAAGATTTTTCGTGTAACTTTTTTTTTATTCGTTTTTTTTTTTTAAAGACACCTTGTTTTCAACTAATTTATTTTTAACTAGGATAAATTTTTCCATAAAAATTTGGTTTATGTAAATGGTAGTTTTAATACAAGTGTATTACTGACCCCATAACAGTCTATATTAAACTATGGAATTGAATGAATTTTATTTTGGAAATAAGTATGGGAAAATGATGACCCAATTTATACGCATATACAATGTTATGAAAGAATGTAATTTTTAATAATCGTTGTCTAACATATTCTATTTTTTGCTGGAACCTCCTTAATTAACCACTTTGTTGTAGGATTGAGAATTCTTTTTTTTAAGGAAAAAATGATTTTTCTATGTTTTTTTTGTATTTTATTTGGTTCAAAGAGCATCACCAGTGAAGTAGTAAATATGCTGAAAAAATGTTTCTTCCTGATAAAAAGTGTCTAAATGTAGATCATGAACTTCGACGTTGTTCCTTGCATCAATCTTTACATAGATGCGGGAATAATTGGTTTGGTAAATTAAAACGTGTTGATTAGACAAAAGAACAAGAAAATTCATTCTTTAGTTCTTAATGAATATTTTCCTCTGTTTTAACTATAACTTTCTCCACAGGACAGAAAAGTACTTTAATCGTTGTTTTTTTTATAGATTTCATTTAACATACAAGTTATGAGTATATTTTTTTGTGAGTGGAATAAATATTTGTTCGTAGTTAATAGCCCTACTTAAGCTATGTTGCTTCTTGTTGACTTTGCAAGAATGGTTAAGTCAGAGCAAACAATCTTGTACCTTAAAGTGCTAAGGCGAGAGAAATATAGCCAAGTAAATACATTACGAGAAGTGGATGGGGAATGAGGGCGCATTACATTTCGTCACGCAACTTTAATCTCAAACGCTGACATCAACGAGTCTATTTCAAATAAATAACTTTTCTACGCCAAAGTTATGGCTGATATAAAATAACTTACAGATGGCTACAGGAATTTCGAGACCTGCATGGAAATGTGTGGAAAATAGATATTGGAAAACTTTTACTGCACAAAAGACGAAGTTGTAGCCCGTGAGTTCATAAATGTAATATTTATTGACTGCTTATCTTGCGAGAACTTATATAAATTTCTATTATTTAAGGGAAAAAATAGTTGACGTAATAAGAGGGATGTTATTAAGGTCTCGTTATGAAAATTTGTATTTTTACACACAAAGCTAAGATTATAATGAAAAAAGCTCGTAATTTTTTAATCCATAAAAAAGGTAACAATTCGTTTCTGCACTATAAAAGATAATACATTAAATAATATCTCACACTGAGAGAAAAAAAACGATAATTTTTATCGTGATTGTTAGTACAATAATTACTGTGCAACTGTCATAGTGAGACACAGTCATTAAAAACCTACACACATTAAAATCCATTTTGTATATTTAGAGGCTTAACACAACAGTTTCGATATGAAAGCACGACTATATGAATACATTGATAATTATCAATGACTTTGTTAAAAACAAAAATAAAATAAGGAGTAGAAAGTAAGTGAAAAAAGATATGATTATTATGCCATCAAATTAATTCCAAAATGAGTTTACGCGTAAGAAAAAAAAGTGCTATACATTACTAATTTTTGACAAGATATCTTCTACATATCAACCAACTTTTCTGGATTGATCATTCACATGTAGAACGATGTCTTGTCTGTGTTAATATTTAAATCATTAAGCTTATCCTTTAACACTTTCGAGAACAGAAAAAAATGTTTATCTATGAGTTTTTTAATTGTTTGTCTCTTTGTTAGCTTGGCTTTTTTTCCTGAAGATCTAGCCAAGGCAAACATCATTATAATAATAAGAAAAAGGCTGTTATAATTTTGGAAGAGCATACAGATTTTCAGACAATGTATTTTGTACTCTCGTGCCAAAGAAAAACTGAATACGATCGTGTCTTGTTCCTCTGCATGTATAAGCCCGCGTTTGTACGGGAGCATCAATATTTAGAGATCCCAAAAGCACTTGCAAACTCACTCTCATTCCAAAGTGGTCGAAAACTCCGACGTACCCACTTACAACCCTTTGAATTTTTCTTCTTTTGTATTGTGCACTTGCACGTGAATGTATGCACGAGGTACGTGAAGCAGCACAGTGGCGCGATGAAAGAGTTTCTAGGTACCTGAGAGGTTGTTGCATTGGGAATACAATTTTTATTATACACGAGCTTAGAAGCCACGATAAAATAACAACAGATCCAGATATTCTATAGTTATATGAAAAGCCACATGACAATTACTTGATAATACAAATATCTGCTTTCGTTTCAACACAATACAAGAGATTTTAAACATATTTTTTAACATAGCAAGCATGATAAATATTACTCTTCAAAAAGACTAACTAGAAAAAAAAATTTCTCTAGTGCAGTTAAAAGATGCTCTCAGAGTTCAGAAAGAGGCGACCAGTTTTTTAAAAGTACAAAAGTAGCGAAAAAAAAAAATTGCATTGAGCCCGAGTAAATCTTCAAAGCAAAGTGCCGAGAATTTTTATTTACCGTCTGTGAGATTTTTTTTTTTTCATGTTGTACGAGCACGGGGACTTTGGAAAGGCTAAAGACCTATAAAATATGGGATATCCAGTTTTCACCCGCATCTAGCTGCCGCACGCCATATCTGTCTGCAGTCAGAAGGAAGAGTGGTACGTACGTGCTACTGGAATATGCTACTGGAATAGCGAGTCTTTGCCGTCTTTTTTTTCATTCGTTTTATTTTTATGCTCCCCTCAGCTATGACCACTTCAATGAGCGACTTTCCGCACATCGATGGGCAGGGCCGAACAAACAAGTTCATTCGCTTTCACGAATAATTTGATATGAACAGTTCGACGGTCGATTGAAAGTGAAGGAAGTGAGTTCGAAAGATTAGATCAAGTACCAGTGATGCTGTTTATTTCGTTGCGCAAAGACATTGTGTTGTACCAATTACATTACGATTCCATCCCACATTATTGACAAACCTTGTTACTTCACTTGTTACTGCAGATTCTCAAATCCATGCGGATAGTCAGTTCCATATCGATAATTGGTTCAACATAGTTGAATATTTACTTTAGTGTGTAAAATAACGTAAAGTATAAATATTTAAGAAAATATAACTAGTACTGTTTATTGATATTAGGCTACATTAATCAAATAAATTAAACTAATCTAGTTAAAGTCATAATAAATATATTATGTAATTACGTTATCTTGAAGGTCATTTTATTAAAGCCTTTTAATTCGTTGTGTGGATAATAATGAAGACGGATATTTTTTTGGTGGGATTTTCAAATGGTTAAATGCATTAAATTGTCGCAATATGAATGATATAGAGTACTTAGTATGGAAGCCAGTTAGTAAGTGACCTCCTGGGGTGGTATTCCCTAACTTCTACACCACGTCGCGCCACAACTCGATATCACGTTACGATGCATAAATAAATAGTAAAGTACCGTTAGTCTACGGCGTGGCGTGATGTAGAAGTTACAGAATTACGACCCCTGTAATGAAAGGTTGGAAGTACCTATTGTATGACAAAAAAATTTTTTAACATAAAAAAAAAGATGCCAACAGCACGCGGGGTTCCCAAGCGGTCACCCATCCAAGTACTAACCGCGCCCAATGCTGCTTGACTTCGGTGATCAGACGAGAACCGGTACTTTCAGCATGGTATGGACGTTGGCGAATGTCATGGGAAAACTTGAGTTTATTATCGACATCTTACAAACGATTCAGCCATGTTTTATATGGTGTTTTACTAAAACGTACCAGCTGTAGGTATTACAAATTTAATACCAGCAGTCGATACATAACCGTCACTTGTCAACGTAAACACCTTCATTAACACCGATCGGTATACCTGAAAGCTCTAACGTCATTACATCAGTAGTCTATTAAGTTTTCGGTTTTATCGTGAATTTTTGTGTGATGAAGGTAAAGTTAGCTGGAACACTCAAACATCCGCTGACAGACCATGATTGCAAAATGATTTATCTTGCCAATGTAAAGATCTAGGAAAAGAGACTGTTAAAAAGGACCGTCATTGCTTAACCATCTACCGTCTGTTTAAAACAGCTTCTTGTTCTTGACCAGAGCTTTTTCGTGTCAGTAGAGAAGGTAGAACAGAGTCAAGCTGCAAGCACATATACTGTAGAGTTGATAGCTGGGCGCGTGCGTAGTGGCTGTCTAGTAGATGCGAGCAGTATTGAGCCAGACACGGCTAACAGCAGTTATAGGCAGTTCAGCCGTGTGGCTGCTGCCGAGAGCCCCGCGACACGAGTTGCAAGCTATCATCATATCAAGTCTTGGTCTTGTAGGCACGCGTAAACTCCCGCGCGGATCTATTATAGACCTACTGGCGCGCTCTCGCTTTATCTCGCGTGGCTCCCTTGTTTTCTTTAAGCACAACGCCATGTGCCAGTCAAGCTTTGTACGACAAATTGAAAAGTCTTTGTTGCATTGAGGGAAAAAAAAGGCGCGCTCCGATTTTCAATATTTGAGGCACTCGCTGCCGCAACGACAACAAAAGAGAGTGTGAGAAAGGAGGACAGGGGGTGGCGCGGGCAGAAGAGCCTGGCCAGAAATGAGAGGAGAGTGAAAGCTCGGATCGGAGAGCTTGAGAGCGAAATAGTGCAAGTGAATAACTAGGCGCCGATATATAGACGATGAGGCGATAGTTGAGGAGCTCGGTGCTAGAGGCGGCTTCAGCCGGTAAGTCGAATGTATTTGTCTTGCAAGCACCCTGACTGTCAGACCTGTGTTATTGTTTATTTTTGGAACGGAGATAGGAAAAATAGGTATGCGCTTGTGTTCGAGAGCGGCTGGGAGATGTTCGCTCTCTCCCTTGTAGTTGGGATGGACATATTTTTCGGTATCTAGATAAGCGCGCGTGCCTGTCATTCAGTGTTTTTCTGCTCTTGTCGATATATTTTCGACAGTAATGGCTATCTGTTGTCTATTACCGAATTGTTACAAATTTGTACTTTTTGTACACTGTTTTATAGAATTTTATTTTAATTTTGAAAAAAATTTTGTATTGAAACTACAGTCCCTTAATGTTCATAATTTGTTGTTCAATCTATTGGTTTTGGCACAAACTTTTTAACAACATTAACTATTCGGTACTATTTTAGTACAATCGAAAAAACTTTAACTGCTCCTTAAATCTCACTTCATTCTAAAAGAGTTATCCAAGCATTGTTAAATTGTTACTTCCAACACAATTTTCATACTCAATTGTTATGAATTGCAATTACCTTTGAAATATATTGGTGTGGGTCTTTTGCACCGGAGCATGTTTACGAATATATTAACCTTTTGATGTATACAGACAAAATAATGATAAGATCTACGAAAAAGTATATAGGTCATGAACAATCAAAAATAAAATAATAGATTTTATACCATGGGTGTGAAACAGCACTTGGGGCCCTTAGTACAAAAAAAAATCACCTTTGCCACTCGAGCGAAAAAATCGTACTTTGTGCCGATGGTACGAAAATCAACTATTTCCCACCTCTGGTATTTTTTTTAACCTTAGACGTGGACCTTACTCACGGTAAATGAAGCAAGCTTTGCATCTCGTGAACATCCAACCAGAAAAAGCTCAAAGGTTCCTTGAAACATGTGCCATGAAGTACGAAATCTACTTTGTTGCTCACATTTTTAAAAGTGAGACAACCTCTGAATTGTTAGTATTCACTGTGAACAAGTTCAAAGTAGTTTTAGTAATTTTTCAAAGCATTTTTTGGGGGAGAAAAAAAGGGAAAGTAGTAGATTGTCAGAGAAGCTGACACTGCGATGGCCTGGCCTTAAACGGTCACCAGATATATCGATTTTTGTTTTGTAGCCATCAAGATTTTACAATTTTTTTTAGCTGTGCTATTTAAAAAGCCAAAAAGCACTTTTAATTACAGTATCGAATCACCAAAAATGCTTATCTCACCATGCAACACTTTACTAATGAGACAAAAATTCTATTTTTTTTAGTGCGTAGACAACTAATTATGAATGAAAAAAAAAAAAAAAAAAAAAAAAAAAAATAGCAGCAATATTGTCAAATAACAAATTCTTCGTGCATTGAAACAACCAATACAGGTACCTCTTTTTTTATTGAAGTAGAAAGGTGCCTGGTCTAATTTTATGCGTACTTGCAGTAGAATATGCTATTTGACGATTTTACTGCCACTTTTGGCTTCATAATTTGCACGGACAGGATGCCAAAATACTTTCCTAAACATATATCAATGCAACTTTTATCTGGAAAGTTTTGTTGCACCCGTAACTCTGAAATCAAAGAAATAAGTTGTAATTTCCGTGAAAAAAGGGAAAAAATTCACATCTATCAAAAAGTGTCATATTTTTACCTTTTGTAGCGTAATACTCCATTATTATTATTATTTTTTTTCTTTTTTTTAACACTCTTGTACTACTGATACAGACTACATGTATTAGGAGCTTGCGTCATAAAGAATGGTAGTTTCATCGTCTATAATCGTTTTCACCAAAAAACATTAAAAACATTTATCTTTAACTGACACGATAAAAAAATTTTTTTTTCCTAATCGATTAAAACTTTACTATCACTTTCTGATAAGTTTAAATTGCTTGCAAACTAATTATTGTGAAGGTTAATATGTTTTTTAGATATAAAAAATTTTCTAAGGAATATTTCTCGAAGTAGACATGAGCAGCTACACTCAAGTATTTAAGAAAGACACGTATCTTAAATAGCATTACTTTCCGAGTAGCTTTGAAATAGTGAAATCTTGTAAATCATTTTTAGTTATGGCTGCTTTTCCAATCCCTTTGGTTTAATTCTATTAATAAACTGGTAATGCCCGATCGATTAATATTATACTACTGAAAAATATAAAACTATCTTGTTTAAATCAAATAAAAATTAAAAACAGTCGTTTGGAAGAAACGATTGTATGAGTTATGGTTACATTTTAACAATATAAATTAGTACCAACAAATATAAAACCACCAATTTTTTAATATGAACAGTAGAAAGTCCTATAAAATTACTGGCATATAAAAAAATTTAATAGTTTTATTATAATTTTTTCTTGGAAAGTATTGTTATTATAAATTCCTAGGTTTAAAACGATCATTCTTCCACTTGCACTGCTCTATTGTATTGTACTCTGGGCAATAGTATGTTTATCGTTGCACGAACGTATATAATTTGCAAAGGTTTCATTAACTTCTTAATTTTCTGGAAACTAGTAGTTATAGATCTATTTGTAAGCACATTAGTAATTTGAATACTTTCATTTCCGAACGATGTCATCGTTATGTAACAGTGTGTTCATTGAGCTCTCGTACAAAAATATTTTCACTCTCACTTTTTGTTTTCAAAAGCTTATCAACCAAGCAATTAAAATATTGTTACATAAATAGAAACAGTTCACATGAAAATTACTACCCAAGTATTATGCAAGAGTTGTAAATCGATAATTCAATTTGAAGAACGTAATGCGAGGCGTTTTTACATACAATTTACTTTATTTGCTATATGTCATTGTGATTGTCTTAAAAGTGTTACGTAATTGTTGTATCCTAGGACTGATGCCAATATTTTTGAATGTTCTATCAAAAGCACTTTCTAGGACGATTTCAGTTTTAATAAATGATAATGGATTCCATGAGATTGCCTCCAATTAACCAAGCTTAATGTTTGTAAGCTCCAATTTTCCTAACGAAATCCATAAATTCACAGGTATATGTGCAGAAAAGGCTATTTAAATTCTGTATTATAGATTTATATTTTAATTTATGTTTCATTTGTACAATAATGTTAAACGTAATGAAGCCACAAGTTTTTCTATTAAAAAGTATAAAAATAAACACAATCTACAATTGCGAATAGCACAAAAATTATCTGCGTACTTATGCAACTCTAATAAAATTAAATGACAATGTCTACTGACGTACACTTATAGACTGGAATGAAAGAGATCACAAGGGCACAAGTGATCTTGGCCCCTCCAAAGTTTTTATCTTCATCTTTTTCAAGCTCCACAGCTGCTGATACTGTTTTGAGTGCAATTACGTATCTGCGCTCGTAGTCCCATTCATTATCTCATTGGACGTGGTCATTTTCTGCTCGCAGTTAGTAACAATAGCAGTACTAAAGGGGATCTAATAGAGTCTCATTTTTTTAAAACGTTTTCTTTGTTGTTGTTGTTATTGATTTCTAAATATGTTCAAGTAACTGTTTCTCTTCTGTACCAATAAAAAAGATCCATAGAAACAGAGGTTTCTACGTTTTTGCAAAGTACCTATTCAAATTTTTAAGTGCGCGCTTAGTATTATTTTTAGGCTAGCGTTGTTACACGTACTCCAGAAATAATTAAGTAAACGTGATAGCTTCAAAATTCAGCAAATTTATTTGAAAGTATAAGTTACGTTCTCAGTTTTTGTACACAGTATAGCTCGAACATTTTGTTGGGCATGATGGAATTATCATTAAAAAGTGACATTAAAAATATTTATGTTACAAAACATTCATCTTTCAATAATATTGCAGCTGATCAGCACTGTTTTGTTTATGATCTTTTTTTCATCTAGAATTCTCAAAAATTACTTAAAATAAGAATGATTATTTCAATCATTTGAACAGTTTTCAAAGCTTTTGAGGATATTCCATCGATGAAAATCAAGTTATATTTGCGTTCTTTTTAAAACTATATATCTAGATGATCTTTGTGGAAATACCTTAGCCAAAAAATATTCGTCTCTCGTTATCTGCCATACGCTGTCCATCCGACTGGCAGAGCCATGCAGTACAGTGATTACAATGTAACGTTAAAAATAAATGACGGTTTGCTGTAAATGAGGCTTTTATGGGAAATATCTCATCAATTTTGTCTGACACAAATTTCTGTTCTGTGATTCGCAAAAGAGTTTGTGATATCTTTTATTCATGTTATGGATTTTTTTTATGCTCCATACTTTTTGTGAGAAATTATAACGGTATTTTCAGCCATATACGGTTATTCCTTTACAAAAGATGTACTAAAAACAAATTTTTTTTTTCGAAATTGTAGATATATTTCTTTGGTGTAGTTAAGGGTCACGCACTTTATTTTGATGTTAAGGGATACTAAGTCACATCTCAATAGATCCTTTTGAAAATAATATTTCTGCGAAAAATATGTGAGAGGTAATTGGATAAAATTTTTAATTGATCACAGAATTAAAGTTAACTTGTGTAAGAATTTTTTCAAGAAATAATATCACTTATCATTCTCTATAGAATGCAATGAATGGATGGATGAATGAATGCAATTAAAATTTGACACGAATTATTTTGGTGTGTGCTTTCCGTCCAGCTGCTCGTTTGTTTCAACAGGAAATACTTTATTGATAAAACATTTATCTACTTAACTTAACTTTTTCAAATTAATTTTGTATGAAATATAACGGAGTATTAAAAAGTGAGCACTGTTTATAATTTGTACATAAAATACTTATAAAAATAAAATGATATGTGTTCCGTACTTTTTGCATTAATTTCTACGAAATAGATACTTTTTTATATACATTCAGGAAAGGCATATGAGAAGTGCGTTAGATCTCGGCTATTTATTTAAAATAATTACACAATCTCAATTTCCAATTTTAATCAGCCACTACTTCAAAGTTTAAAATGTTAATCGAATACCTAAGACTAATTTATAATACATACCGATTTATAAGAAATACTATTATTACAATATTGAAATAATTGAAAGACCTCAGATTACCCATCGCAGGATCCCTAAATTTTTTTAAATTGTCAGTAAAAAAATGGGTAGGTACTTAATCATCTTTTCCATTTGTATACAATATCGAGTTTCTACCTATTTTTAGTGAGAATTTCGTGACAATTACATAATAACAATAAACTATTGGTACTAAAACAATGAATAAGTTTCAAATAAGTGAGCCTAACGACTCTTGTAATGAATTAGGACGAATAATACATTTGATTCGTAAAAAAAAAAGAATAAAAAAAATACACAAACCATTATCCTAAAACTACAACTGAGTTATATTTCATTGTTCAGGGAATTCTTTCTATTCTCTAAATAGTCCATTTATATTTAAAATGGTAATTTTGTTATTCTTACATTCTGTCCTACATTCCACAAAATGTCAAAAATAGTGTTGCCATGCTGAACTGGCCTGTTGGAATAATCAATAAATGGACATCTATTTTCTATAAACATCCACGAGGGAGCCAACAACGAGTCGATACCACTCAATTTCCACAAACAAACGGAGCATTAACTCCTTTAATATACACTTTCGTTTTACCACCCTTGGCGCCTCGATATAGACTTGAACGTAAATAAATACATTTATACTCAGTTCCATCAAGATTCCTCCAACCATAGTTCTTTGTCGCTTTTTCACGCTGTGCTGCACCACGTCAGAGGGGTTGAAGCATACACATACATACATGAAGTCCAAGTATATTCTAGCATCCCTAGCTACGATCAGCAGCGCATATGATCCAGTTCTGCTGCACACTCGCACACACGTGTTGATGTGAGTACTGTACCAGTGCACCTACATTTTTATATATCTAAAACCAAGGGGTTAACAATCGATTAGGTGTCTAGACGTACACCCACGAGTTGTTGTATAGGTACGAGCTTGTTAAGGGATAAAGCTTATAATATGTACGCTATAGTGCAGGTTGGAGTTCACGTTAATGTACGGCGAAAGAACTTTTTTTTGTTTCTCCAATAGGTTTGCGAGACTAGGTGTGAACTGGTGTGCCAATTTCGCGTCCACTGCCTTCCTATTGCTCTTTTCTCTCTCTCTCTCTCTCTCTCTCTCTCTCTCTCTCTCTCTCTCTCTCTGTATTCCACTGTCTTCCTCGGCGCTCGTTTTAGCCTATTTACTTTTTTGTAGGTCAACCGTGGAGTAGACCCAGAAGAATGAGGACACCAAAGATAGCAGCAAGGGAAGGAAATTGTTTCATGACGGTCGATTCGGACCACATAGGGGTAAATGACCCAATTACTGCGCACTCGACGGTAACTGAAAATAACAAAAACAGACTGAAAAATTTGGGTGCTTGGATATTGTAACACGTACGGACATTAATAACGTTCAATCCAGAATCATACTTTACATCATGACATTTATAATTGTTTAACTGAGTGACTCTAAACGAATCTAACCTACAAAACTTTGTAGTCGTGCGTAGTGATTGGTGCACAGCAATTGGGTCTAGGGCTTCAGCGTGAAAACCTTATGGGAGATACCCACGCAGTAATTGGGGGCGCAGCAACTGGTGCTAATTTCATAACCGTGCGCAGTGATACCAGCAAGTGATATCAGCACTAAAACAATTATTTGAAAAAAAAAAAAAGTTACTTAACAGAAAAATGTTTGTCGTTTTAATCGCACAAGATGCTGCAGATGAAGATTAAGTAAAACTGGTTCAATTTACATCGAAAAACATTGAGAAATGAGAAATTTAGTACAATCAAAAATTTCAGTGCGCAGTAATTGGGTCATTTACCCCTACACGTATTTGGGGTGTACGCGTCTTTTTCAGAACATTTATATTGCTTCTCGATCGTCCTTGTTAGGCTCCTCTTCCTCATGCTTTTTTTTTTTTTTTTTTTTTTTTTTTTTAAATGTCCGTCTGATGAAGGAATACTTCATAGTATTTTAGAAATGTAACCGTCATGCTTCATGTGTTTATCAGGTAATTCTCATTTTATGTGCAAAATGTCGATAAGAGTTTAACTGTTCAACGAACACCTTCTGTTCTTTCTTGAGTTTTTACGAATGAAAAAAGTGAGGGAAGTGACCTACAAACATTTCTATTGGCTTGTCTGATACAAAAGAAGCCATCGTTACTATATTCCAACGACTAATCTTATTTGCTAATATCTTGGGCACTGCTTCTCGTGGGTCTACAAGACAAATTATAATACACCAGTCACTGGAAACGCTTTTATTGTGTTCCCCGTACTTGTACCAAGTATCGAGTCACTCGTAAAAAATACAGGCGAAAATTCATTCAAGGCAGTAATCGTAATCGGATCAGGAAAATCTACTTTTACCATACGACTTTGTAACGAAGGTCCCAACTGGAAAAATAATTAAACAACAAAAAAATTATGAACGCATGTATCATTTCACAGCGTCATACAGCATTGCTCTCTAACTATTCATTCGAAAAGTAAATGGAAAAAGACGGTGCAGACGTAATTACACGGTTCATCCGTGTAACACAGAGTCCCCAGGCGTCGCGTCAAATACTCAGCACCCCAACAACATACGATTGTTGTGTCCACGTACTAAGAGCAACAGCATCCATCCGTTCGGAATAGGAACTGCCGTACCGGCCAACTCAGAAATAGCCCCGGAGCATAATCAACTCGAAAACAGACAGCTGTGGTCGAAAAATCAGTATAGTGACAAGCTCAAGGACGTGCTCGCCTCCACGTACGTTTCTGCCACGCTCGCAGCATCCATACGCGCAACGATAATCAGCCTTGGGGGACCTGTCGAAAGGAAACGCAGAAAAGGCGAGCCGAACGAGGGAGAGAGAGAGAAACGCGGCTCAATCGGACGTAGTCGAAGCGCGCGATAAGCGGATCATGGCCAGCGGTGCCACCGTGACCACTAATGAACTGTGTCAGTATATACCTGGCCACCGACTCTCTACCTCCCTTTCTCGCGTTTCTCTATTACCAGTCATCTCGCCGAACGCGTAATCCAATTTTGTTTTACCAGCCTTCTCGTTCCAAATGTAGAATACGTCGCTATCTGTGGCATGCGCGGACCATTCGACGAAAACTGGCATATTTTAAATGAGCCGGAGTGGAAAAACGCTTCAAATGGATTTTTCATTATTAATGGTAGTTTTTGTATTGCTCGTGGCCATAATAAACTTAAATTAAGCTTAAACGACGTTGTAATCGACTAAGCCACGAAATTGACCGTTTTTGCTTAGAATTTCTCATACATACGTAAGGATATTACAACATTTGCAAATAGCCTGGTTTGCATGTCTGTAGGTACGAGAGTATGTTGACTAATTTGGCTGTCTGTCCTTATCTCTTGAAAATCTGGACCAGCTTAGAGCTGTTTGTTCTTAGATTTCAAGGATTTAAACGCAAAAAGTTGTTGACTGGAGTTGTTAGGATACATATTTCGGGTGCAATGTAATTTAAACAAGTTGGGAGAGTTTTTCAAGCATCAAAGAGTTTTAATCGAAATGTTTTTGTGTACGATACGATTAATTGATTCCCAGCATAGAGAAATTTAAAAGCAAACGTTTGATGAGCGTGTAATCTTGAACTTAGAGATTTTGAAACGCGGAGTGTCAGAGTACCTCTTTCTGTCCGGCCAGTTTTTTAAGATCGGCTCAATCGTAATTTATTTGTTAGGGGTTTTGTTACGAATTTCATGATTTTTAGTGATGATAAAAATTATCAATTGATGTTTATTAGGTACGGCCGTTTCGGGTTAACTGGACATGTTTCAAAATAGCCTCCACCTAGATCATGCGGGTATGCAATGTGACGTACATCGATTACTTGCTTGTACATCGAGTGAAATTATTTACGAAAGTACTGTTGTATATTGATTGACCTACAAGGTTTTGATGAAATTAAACATATTAGCTGATTATAAGTACCAAAAATGAACCAATTAAATTTTTGTGGACCTTGGGTGGGTAGGGAAAAAGTTGTGGACATTTTACTACTTATCAATTTAACATGTTATCTTATGGCAAACGGCGGTTTATTTAGTACTTCAAATAAGGCCCCTCCATATACATATATATTGCTCATATACAAAATTCTTTTGTTTGCGTTTTCATCAATACAAATATTTTGATCTTATACGGAATGTTTTGTAACTCATCGTCCTATCTAGTTTCTTAGTTCTAGTCGCGAAACTGGTTTCATAGCTACACGTTGAGAAGGAGAGAGAGGACAAGTGCACATTAATTTAAATAAAAGCCTGCTATGCTAATGACTTATTAAAAAAATTTTCCCTCTTCGTTGTACAAAGAACTAGGTTGACAAATAATCTAAAAAATTTGAATTGCATTCCTAGTACTCTCAAGAACTTTGTACTATTATTATTATTATTTTTTTTTATTATTTCGAAAAAAAAATTTTTTTCTGTCTACGAGTTAACACTTTCGCAATAACGCTTTGTTACACACATTCATTAATTAGGACATAGGAATGAAATCCTTATGTTTTTGTCTGTAGTTTGAGTAATAAAACTGTATACTTGTGTCCAATGAAACTTAACTAAGCCCAATAGTCTTATCTATCAAATGTAAAAAAATCCTTGATATTGGTAAAGTTCGTGTAACATGTTGTGTACACTTTTGTTTGCAGCAGGAGCATTGAACTTGTTTGAAAATCCTCGGGCCAGAGGTTGAAAGACACAACAGGAGCGAAAGGCCAATAGCCACAAAAGCCGAATCATGACCAAGAGGTTCGAATTTAACTGGCAGATTGAAGTGCCCGAGGCGCTCAGGGCTGGCAGCGTTTTCGATCGATGGACCGAGGAGAAAGACAATATGGAAATAGAGCTCAACTGCACTTTCAAAGTAGACGAATACGGATTCTTTATCTACTGGCAGAGTGAGGGAAAGGTATGGTTGTTATTTGGCTACATGATTACGATTAGACGTATACTTATATCATATGTTGAATGCCAAACAACTACTGTAGCATCTGAATCTGACAATCAAATTGTTTTTGAATACATGATATCTTCGCAGTAGGCGGCAATCCTTGCAAAACTGCCATTTTATTGTTGTTAATATTCTTATTTTACTATAAAATGTTACACATTGTATGTGGACTCATTGGCATATCAACGAAATCTAACACTTAGTGAAAGAAAGAAAATCATACCATCTTAGAGTTGATGTGACGGGTGACTAGGTTAATTATAACATAAAAATATTTTGTTTAGTAAGAACACAAAAAAAAATTTTTTCTCAATTTTGATTTAAAACATAGTTTATTGAATTTCAAGTAACACTACTAATGCCAAATATTCATATAAAATAATGACCTGTTAAAATTACCGGAAATCTTAAGGAGATGCCCTGAAACAATGCACTCAGTTGAAATTCTATAAACGGTAAAAATTTAAAACTATTAACAAATTAGAATATCTGGAATCTAAAACATAAAAGATATTAGAAGAAATATTATCCATGCAATGAAGCCTGGTTTAAGGACTGTTATTGTTGACTACAGTTGTCATAAAATCTTCAATTTTCTACTACCCCAAATTTACACTGGAAAAAGGTTAATGTTGATCTCAACTTTTAAGTTTTTTCTTGCGAATTTCCAATATTTAATCATGGATTGTAAGGGAATAGTTTTTGGGTATTTTGAGTACTTGTAATATATATATATATTTTTTAAATTAATATTTTCTCAAAGAGGACCCTTAATAATTTCAGAGCACAGTTGGTTTCATGCTGAAAAACATGTATCTTGTTGTTGTGAATATTCCCACTGCCTTAATTTCGTACGAAAAATCAATACTTGGAAAATCCAACGAAAGCCCACGAGACTGAACATGAATATTGTAGAATTTACAATAGATCACGCCATAGTAATGGTACTCATCTAGAACCCATTCATGTTTGATATCAGAAATCACAATATGTCAACCTTCACTTGACCTTGAACCAACTATGTAAACAGTAAAACATAGAACAAATGCATGTTTTTTTGCGACATCGTACTTTCACAGCTGCGTTCTCTTGTCACAGTAAGATAAAGACACTTTTTTATGTCACACCACTATTCTTTCGTGAAATATCTTCATCTACGGTCCAATGTCCAGCTCATGCTGAACAAAGTATATGTTGTCCAATGAATCCAAACAACTTGTAATACGACCCTTCCGCATCACTAATCCCTTTTATCTCAGTCCTTCACTCTTTGAAGCTGTCTCCCTCCACTTCTTTCTCTCATGCCTTCCTTTTTATTTTCTTTCATCGCACGCGCGACAATACACTGGAATCCTCTCGCACGCGCACAAACGCTCGCACGTGTTCGAGAAAAACGAAAGGGGAACTCTCAGCCCGCTTCCGAAACTCCCAACTCGAAGGGTACGGAAGTCAGAGGACAGAGGGATCTTGTTTCACGAGTATGGGCGATCGATCGCAGCCCTCGTGGGAGCCAGAAGGTCCATGTATACACGGACGCGCGAGGGTGTCTGTGTTTTCATCCATTGTTTCGCTGAATAATTGAGACACAAACAAAAACAGGAAATAATCTCGCTAAACGTCTAGGATTTGAACTTCATTTCTTGTTTTTTCTTTTTTTTTTCGTTGTATGGTACTTATAAGATGATTCATTGGATAACGTAAAGCTGGTTCAGTTCTGGCTAGATGTAACATTGATACACCTAGGCGACAAGCTTTTTTTTCGTCAGCCACAACATTGGAAGCAAAACATTGAACTATGCCGATAGAAATATGCAAGTAAGGAACTTCAAAGTTCAGCAATAAGGATCAGACGATCATACGGGGAAAACCCTTGTCATGTGCATTAAACTCGTGGTAAAATGTTTCGTAATGAAAATCCCATTATCTTGACACGCAACGAGAGTCTAGCACGCGATCACTCGTACTTACACTTAACGCATAGAAACGTGATAGTTGAAGCCTCGTGCTCGACAGTTTTATCAGATGTCACACTAATTGATTGATACTTTTAGATAAAGTAGGGTAGTGCAATCGATTCGCAAAGATTTTCACTTCGAGAGATGGAAATTGATAGGCTTTGTAGTTATCATCTAGCTGTGATAATTTTACTCTTAAAAATGAAAGGCCTAATGACGCAGGGGCCATAGTTAGAAGTAATTCCGGAGTAATTAGAAGCCCGAAACAATACCATTGTTCGTCAAAAAGCTCCTCATCCGTCATGCAAATGGAGGCACAGAACTGGGTCATGGTAATTAAATCCAAGGGATGGAAAAGAAAGGTTGCAAGCTTGTACCTGATTGTCCGTAGTTTTGATCATCGAAATCGAAGAGCGTCAGCAGCGTAACTCTATCATACCATCTTGGCACGACTGATTAAATGGAAGCAGCCTAATGAACGGAATAAACGATGCATACGACGACGAAGCTGACAACAACATAACGCTACTCCCTCTAACGATCGCTTTTTTCTGCCGTCCTTACTCCACCTCCACTCCCATCTGAATCCCCTCTCTCATTCCACGTTCAGTTTTGCCACTGTGCATAAGAGGAGATCTGTGACCTAGTGACCCGTTACTCTTTCTTCTCGCCTTCGCTCATCTTTTTCGTGGGTGTTCGAAAACGATATCAGTCCACAGGTGTCGCATACCGTACATCACGAAACGAGAGGCTCGAGGCGCACCTCCAACCAGTTAAATAGATCATTGTTATGATTTTCCCGCTCGAGTGGGAATTACTCGCTAATTGAAATGAACGAATGGATGAATGCGTAATGTCGTATCATCCATGAATATTCAATAATAGAAAAGACTCGCGTCAGTAAGCCATGTTGATTCAAGATAAACTAGCATTATGGACGGATATGTAAAGCTTTTGAGAATGTGATGTGGTACAGTTAAATTTTTTTTTTACCTGCTTTCTGAAAATTTTTCATGTGCTTCAAATTGAAATGGGAATTCAATTTTAAACATCCTTCATGCAAAAAAAAAAAACAAAGTTTTATAATCTTGAAAAACCACGGTGATAAATTTCATCAACAATGGAAAATTTACCAAATTTGAGGTAATTTATCATTTTAGCAAGCCTTTTTCATAGGTCCTTAGTAAAGTTAGTACATATCGATTTTAGACAAAAAAAAGGTGACAAAATTATTCAAAAGGTCAAGCTTCGGAGTTTTCAAGAAGTTAAATTGCAAAGTTTTCTATTTATACGTGAGCTCTCAAGAACAGTTTAAAAGAAGTTAACGATAAATATGACACTTTGTATTAATATTCTGGTACATAGAAGAATAGCGAGCATTTACTTATAGTTTATTATATGTTTGCTATTCTGTAAGAGTTTTTATGAGAACTCAGGATTATTTGTAGGATTGTGAAGGATAATGATATTCTTCTTGACAAAGGAAAAATACATGCCACCCTCGGCTACTAATGAAACGAACTTGATGTAATTGTACGTTATTCATATGATTGCATTTGTACGTAAATAAAGTTGTTAGGAGTAGTACTAATCTCAAAATTATTTATTTTAATTATGCTTCGCATTGGTTGTTAAAATACATTACACATAAAAACGAGAATATTTCTTAAACATAAATATTTATATTACCTACTCGCTTGTGATAGTATGCCATAGCCTGAAGCATTAATTTTTGTTTCACTTTAACTAATCAAAGTAGTTCAACCATAAAAGAAGTAATACTTTGATGCCAAACATTACGAGGAATAATCGTTCAAAGATTCATCCTTTCTCTTACCATACTTTTCGACTTTGTTTACATCGATAAAGTCCGTACTGAAAAGCTAATGCAATACACAACAAATAGCAAACGAAGTACTTGATAAATTCTCTATACCAGGAAAGTATTCTGAGATTGAGAAAATTTCTAAACTCCATATTATGATCTTATTGACTAATTATACTTAAAAAAATTTTTTACATCAATTATCTTATAACTTTCAACTTTTCTCTGTTTGTTTCATGCAGGATGGTGACGTCATCGAATTGTGTCAAGTGAGCGACATACGCGCAGGTGGTGTGCCGAAGGTAAATAATTTACTTAAAGGAGCTTTTATAAAAATTGAGAACAAACAGGGAGCAGCAGAGTAACAAGACGCGATATACGTAATGGCGATAGCCTGCTTTCTCGCTAATTTGATATGCTGATGACGTTACCCATGGAAAAATTAAATTAGACATGCACTTTCAACTTCCGTATTTTTGCACTTTGTCGGGGTGAAGTGTCCGCATAAAAACTGGAATGAAAAATTTGTATCCTAAGAATTTGAAAGATAAAGGATCATAGGTGAATTAAAAAGAAAAAATAGTTTTCATCGCTACAAATACATCATTGTTTAAACTTTTTGATTTCATTTTAACTTCATCTCGTAATAATTTTTTTCAATTTAAGTACACATTTTGTCAGTGTTTGATTATAAATTTAACATGAATAGCTGATTATTGTCTAATAAAACTATAATTTTGTAACGGAAGGCAGACATGACATAAAAAATTTATTCTTGAAAATCTATGCGTTACAAAAAATGTACTTTTATACTTTTGTTATTGAATTTTTTGTAACGTTAAAAAATATTCGATATGTCAGCAAGAGTTGAATTTTTCGTGTAATGAAATACGAATATCCAAAGCGATTCCTTACAAAACGTTTATTTGTCGATTCGATGAAACATTATACCTTTTCAGCTGCACATTCATGCCTTGATGTAAAAAACTCGGGAGCCATCGTTCGGTATAAGAAACTCAAATTTTAATAATCTCATCCCTTCTTACTTTTCTGATTCGTTTGACTTCGCCGATGAGGACATTCAATTAAAAAGGATTTCTAAAATATCACATGAATTTAATACGTTAGCCGTTCAAATATTCAGTACATGTATAACTTTGTTTTTACAGTCAAGAAACTCGTATCTTGCGTTACAGTCCCACACAGATGGAGAAAGCCGCTTATTAAAAAATCCACTTCCCAGCGTATTAATTTAATTATAAAACGTCTAATCTTAGTTTTAGAGATGTGGATCGTATTATTCACACCCACGCATACACGAACGCATGCGCTGGGTCTTGTCGGCTATTTTTGGAAAAAATTAAAAATTCCCTCGTAAACGTTTCTGAAAACTGAGTACTCTCAACCTCATACTTTTTGTCTTAATAACCTGATCACATAATAACAAAACCTCATGAAAAGTCGAGTATCACGAAATTCGAGAAAAAAAAAAAAAAAAAAAAGAAATTCGGTATGAATTTTTATATGCCATCTCATGATTTGTACTTTTACATCTCCAAAAATCAAACATCGGATGACTCTTATTGCCTGCTCTCGTGGAATCAACCGAGTGATTGTCTTCTAAAAAAAAAAAAAAAAAATGATTGCAGGATCCAAAGCTGTACGATAAACTCCTGAACAAGCACGGCGAGCAGCTCGAGGATAAGAGCCTGACAATCTGCTCGGGCGTCGACTACACCAACATCAATTACCAGCACGTCGTCTGTCCGGACCCCACCACGGCCAAGGTACGCATATCTTATCAATTTTTCCGCACAGGCGCCCACGTCATTCGCCGTCGACCACTTTCATTCAAGTCCTTTCGTTCCCTCTTTGTCCCTCCTCCTCCTCCCCCTCCAAATGATACGCTCGCACGTGCCGTTGTTACCTATACGTCTATTTTCGTATTCACGCGCTGTTACGGCACGGCCTTTGTATTTGCTTGCGTATTTACATAACCGACAAACACTCACGTGGGTGATACACCACGAGTTCTTACGCCAAATCTACATCAACTTAAATTCGTACGAGAGACCACGATGGCGCTACTCGATAATTAGTCGTCCACGCCACGACCATACGTGGAGTAGAAGCTGATAAGAGATGAAAACGAGATCGCGTCACTGGGCCACGGGGCATTTACGTCTGTTTTTTTTACTCTCATCTGCAGAATTTCAACCGTGATCGTGGCCTGCGAGAAAACAAAAAAGTTTTCTCAAAGCAATTCATCCACGCGACGTTCATGCGTGTCTGGCTCGACGTTCGAAAAACGTTTGAAGATGCGTAAGGTTTCTTGGACAGTAGCTTGATTGACTGTTTTTTTTTTTTTTTTTTTTTGTCACGCTTGTTTTAGCGCGTCTCATTGATGGGGAGTTCATTAGCGGTATCCGTGTGAGATCGGAAAGTACTGTGAATGATTGTAACTACCATCAAGAAGGTTTTCCTCCTACCGTGCCAGTCAAACGTGTGCTTACAATTCAGTGTCCACGAAACGCAAAACAAACGACTTTACAAAAAAGTTTAACCAATTTTTTCCGAATTTTCTTGAAAAAAAAAAAAATAAAAAAAAGTAGGGATATCCGTAATAATCCTTTGCCAAGCTTAAATGTACTTAAATTGTTGTATTTTTTTGTTGAGCAAATTAATTTTCTTGTAAGCTGGAGCAATCATTTCAGAATATTCAAGCTTGTCAAAGGATTATAGTAAATCACTGTTTCTTTAGAGTTGAACTAGAAAAATAAAAAAATGTACATCACTCAAACTGGCCTTACGTTAATAATTTTCCTAAAGGTCGACTTTTATAAGGTTTCACTCCTTTTTCGGGACACGACTTTTACGACGTTCTACTAAAAGGGAGATGAAGCGCTTCAAAATATTTTTTAACGATACATATTTATGATAATTAGTTCTTTTATTTACAAATAGCATTTACTATTTCATCATTAAAATTTTTTCACGAGGTTGTACGCACTACATTTTTATCTTGGGAAAATAATTCTGTACAACGTACGCAAAATTTACATTATAGCGTTATTAAAGTAATTTATATTTTGCATTTACCTTTTGGTCTACGCTAAAGATAATTAAATGACATTATAATTATTTCAATTACATATTGTAATAACAAAAAATTACTATCGTAATAATTCACAAACCGTTTATTTTTACCACCCGTGAATGTCATTTGGATCATTACGGTGACCTTAGCTTGAAACAATCGAATAACGAATATGAAGCTTCATTCACAATTATTCTCATGTTTAGAAATTTTCGTACAATTTTCGTACAATTTTAGTATTTAATTTTTGTTATAAATGTAAATTTTGTTTTCATACATTTTTCTCAATGATTTTATTTTATAAAATTAAATAAAACTTCTTAAGATAATAGCTTCTATCACTAGAATTTCTAAACATGATACCTTTACTTATTTAAATGCACCACGGCATTTTTCTGACTAATACCACAAATCTTTGGAACATGTGTTTTTTTTTTATAGTCTAATAATATTCTCCCAGTTTTGTGTGTCCTTCTTTCATCTTTTGAAAATAAATTATTCTTGCCACGAGTATTTTATTTTTCGGATTATTGCGGGCTTTAGTAATACCATCGTTATTAATATAATTTTTTTTTTATCGTTTAAAATTGACTTTGTTATCTCATCCATAATTTTATTAACTGCTGCCACTATTACTCATTAAAAAACAATTCAACCAATTACTCAAATTTTTAATGAACGAACGGATTTCCGAACCGAAACGTTGAGTTTATTAGGCTATCGTAGGATAAGATAAGTATCCTACAACTTGAATGTTGCGACTACCACCGATATAGTAAAATATATTTACCCTTACATATGCGACTAACTTTCGAAATGAGGGCACTCGTAGCTTTTTTACTCTATTAAGTCGATGAGCTTCCCGTGTAACAAAGTAAAAAAGTGTAGGTAAAAAAAAAGACTCTAAGTTAAGAAAAACTACTTGTTATGTATTTTTAATAATATTGCTTTCCAATGCTTCTTATATCTCTTATAAAAGAAGGCTTCTACCTAATGCTTAAACCCTTACATTGATTTATTCGATGTTTTTTTTTAGAAATAAATAATTAAATTACAGTTGTAGTCACATTATGGAACCTTCATTACAACACTCTCCATTGGTAAAATTAATTGCAAAAGATGGAGAGCTTTCTTGATAACGAAAAATAGGATCAACGAAAAGTCCTTTTCAGCACCCATTGGTGAGAAAGCAATGCAACCATGGCCTTGAACTCTTATTTCTGTTTACTTGTGCAACCGACTGCTACAGAGCAAATGTATAAAAAAATACGCAATACCGAGTCACTGGTCGTGGATACTGTGATTGCGCTTCCGACGAAATGAAAAATTTGCGTACGTGCGGTCATTGTTATGAGCCGGCATGACGAATGTACGAGGAAAGGCAGCCGCTTGATAATTTCCATCCGTCCACGTACGACTGCACGTAAATACCAGTTTTCGTGTTTGATAATATACAACACCGATGCCCATAAACCCGAGGTGTACAATTTTTCACGAAGGGTTCACCAAAGGGTAAAAAAAATCATGTTATAAAAACAGGTAGATGGTAATCAAAGAGCTCCCTAATCCATCCTACGATCACACACGAGCTCTTCAATGAAAGAATGACATCATCGTCGACCGGTTATACATTATAGCACACCAGCGTCACAGGCGACGCGGACCGTTCCTCCTCTCCTCCCGTCCCTCGATCGCACCTTTCGTTTAAAGCCGCTTCCTGCACGTGATACGTACATTATCCTCTTTTAACTTAACATACACACACAATTCGTCATCCATTTGTCAAACCCCAGGTTCACTTGTATTTTATGTCCAGCTCCGAAAACTATGAGAGCTACGATTGTTCAGCACGAGCGTAATGAGTCATATGATTATGTTTTACAGACGTGGTTGAACGGCATTAGGCGCATCACCCACAACGTCAAAGCCAACAACGTGTGCCCGCTGACGTGCCTCAAGAAGCAGTGAGTCTTTCATGTTTGTCAACAAATTTGCTATTCACGACGCGAACGCGTGATGGGCCTGTTGTGTTTTTTCTCCGTCTCTCTCTTTTTACTTCTACCTACCTGCCTGCCTGTCTTTTTTTCTTTCATTTCTTCGGCTCGTTCTCTTTTTTTTACACATTTTTTTTCACGATATCGATGTCTGCTATATATAAAATACACGTGCTGGGGGTTTTTGTTGCCACTCGTTCTTGTCTGGAGTGGCCCCTGATTTCCAATTTATATGAACAAAGGGAGGACGTAGCTATAACTTTGGAGTTAATTTTACTTTGCTCGCGTACAAAAGGCCTTTTTGGCTCGATCGTTGTGGAAGTTTTTCTTTCGACGCACTTGGAATTAATTCATACACTTGAAAATAATTTTTAATGATTTCGAAAATTCCACTCGAGATACGTAACAAACCTCAATATTGGTTAACCGGAATTTTGATGATTCAATGATATTATCACCTCAGGTAATCTGGTTGGTTGCCTTAAAGTCGAGACTCTAATCGCAATATAGTTTAAAATTGTGAGTAACATGTGGATCAAACAATAATTCTTTTATTCACATTTCGTAGAAGAGCATTGTCGGCTCTCACTAGAAGATGTATGAATGAAGTATTAATTGCTGAATAAACATTCAATTGGGTGTCTATTCAAAAACATTAAATTGAAGAGATACGTTTCATTGGTATATATCTTGTATGTCGTAACAGCGAAGAGGCGATGAAAAATACTTTGTATTAAAAAAGTTGAGCATGCCTGCGTTATCCACGTCTCATTAGCATAATACTATCGAAACAATTTTTTTCACGCCCTCAAGAGTACACAGTAACAACATTATTTGAGTTTTCAAAAAAAAGCTAAGATTGTCCATTCATGGGGGAAAGAAATAGTAATTTTTACAAAATAACTACTTGGTCAATCCAAAACGAGGCCTTAATCGCGTAATACGTATGTCGCAATTAAATCACGCGGCTGAAATTGTGTTTTGGCTCGAAATACCTAACATTCTCGTGTCACCTCTACTGTACACAAAGCGTCGAGCCCGTGTCTGAGCTAATAAATCTCTATCGGATGACGGGAATCGATCACGTCTAATACGTTTAAGGCAGATTAAGTGTATTCTTATTGTGAACTTGCCAAGGCAAATCGAATAAGGAGCTGGGTGTGAGGGTATGCTCGTAAATTGAGTTTGCAATACGATCCATTGATGGATAATAGAGATTCTTTTTGCACATACATTGCTTTGATTCGTTTAAGCTTGGTAATTTTTTTTTCTTTCTTTTTTTCTTTTTTTTTTTTTTTTCAACATAAAGTAAAATAACTTGTCTCCAGTTGGATGCGGCTTCGGATGCTCGTCGATCCGAATAAAAAGGTCCCAGTCAAGGTGGTTGCCAGGACTTTTGCTTCCGGAAAAACGGAGAAATTGGTGTATCAGTGCCTTTCTGATCTAAGTCTACCCAGTGGCAAGGTATGTTTTTGCTTAGCTATGCATGTCGAATTATTAAATAATTTGGAAAACTTTAATGATCACTAGAATAAGCCCTAATTTACCATTTGGTAAGGTGTCAGGTGGTTTCTATATTTGTAACTTATTAATGATTTTGGGGTCTGTTGTTACGAGAATTCAAAGCCTTCGAGACTTATGCCACATACATACTGAACAAATTGCTAAGACTCTTCTGCTTGATTTATCATTCAATAACAGGCTTATTTAGTTTCAACCCATACTTAGATTTATTTCTAAAAAAATCATTGCTCTGTACTTTCTACTTTACGCATGATCTGCAAAGATGGCATCTTTGACTCAGTTGACTCGTGAAATAACTTTAAAAAGCTCAAAATGCCGTAAAAATAATGTGAAGTGCCAACCAATTTCACAACGAAAACTAGCTTCATATCACCTTGTTTTAATCATAACTATATGACCCTTTATCTTACCAGCTCAATGTACATACAGTGAAACTCATACGTAACTATTACGACACTTTTTTCATATTCAAAGTTATCTAAGCCTACAAATTTGTTGAAATCATCAGCTTTAATCCAAGAATCTATCACTACCACCTGAAAATTCTACGCACGCTGATTGAAATCTACGCTAGAAGTCGAATATTGGGTTTAATCTGTCTTTAAATCTTAATTGAAAAGAACCAGAACAATATTTCCTAACAATTCAAGAGAAACAACTTTCAACAAAATATTTACTCAAAACTTAATCATGTGAAACTATAAATCTCAATCTAGTATCTCTATTGTTTGATCTATTAGTTTGGTGTTTGATCAATTTATTTTGTGTTTACTTATTGAACATTGATGATTCACAAGATGATAAATAAAACTATCGTAGCTTTATGTAATTTTCATTTATCTGTACTCCAATAGAAATCGTTACGGATCATTCGGTACACTGTGAATTCTTCAGACGAATAGCGCACAGCTGGTGTCTGGTTATTGTCTAGTATTCTTTTTTAATATTTATGTAAATAAAAATGATGTAACTATAATAACAAATTCTAATGGTATGGCGGATTTGTGCCTTACAAATAGGGTATCACATTCCCGTAAAGAAACAAAAGCCAAAATCACCACAAAAATCTTCACTTTGTTTTCTAGAATGATGTGATAGAGCCAGATGACTTCACATTCGACGCGTTTTATGCACTTTATCACAAGATTTGTCCCAGAAATGATATCGAGGAGCTATTCCAATCCATGTACGTAACTATCGAACGCCAAGGTTCCACCCTATTGAATTTAATAGACTCATACTTACCACCCTAACATTAAACATTTGGTACTCCATTGGTCTTGCAGAACCCAAGGAAAAGCTGACACAATCAATATGGAACAGTTAATAATATTCTTGAATGAGAAGCAGCGAGATCCGACGCTCAACGAAATTCTTTACCCTTTTTACGACGAGAAGAGAGCAACGGAAATCATTAACGACTACGAGAAAAATGAGACGGTGCGGAATCAAAGTGAGTTGACACAATTTTTTTTACATCACGTTCAAAGATTGTGGTTAAAACTTGATCAACAATTAGTTCCAAATGAACTCGTACCTGCAAACTCTTGTTTGACTTACTCACTCATTTTGGTAAAAAAAAAGCCATAAACCTGGTAAAATATTGACACTTCGCATTTTTTTATTGAAATTAAACCTTTATGCCAGGACGCATGACCAAGGACGGCTTCATTAGGTACCTGATGTCAGACGAGAACGCACCAGTGTTTCTGGATCGTCTGGATGTTTACATGGATATGGATCAATCGTTAGCGCATTATTATATTAACTCGAGTCACAATACTTACCTTAGTGGTCGGCAGTTTGGTGGTAAAAGCAGCGTGGAGATGTACAGACAAGTTCTATTAGCAGGTTGTAGGTACGTTGTTAACAGCAATAATGAGATTTTAATTGCGTTTAAGGAGATTTTTCTGATCATCAATTTAAGAATTGTAAATTAACAACTATTTCAGTAGCAAGGTATATAATGAGAAATAGTTTATTAATTTTGGTGTTTTTTGAAATTATTCGTGAAAGAAAATCTACCTTCTGTCAATGCTAGTGGAGAGTAAAACTATATTTTGCACAGGTGTGTCGAACTGGATTGCTGGGACGGAAAAGGAGAGGACGAGGAGCCAATAATAACTCATGGCAAAGCCATGTGCACCGTTATTCTCTTCAAAGATGTGATATATGCCATTCGAGACACAGCCTTCGTTACCACGGACTACCCGTTAATTCTGAGTTTTGAGAATCACTGCAGCAAGGCCCAACAGTACAAATTAGCCAAATATTGCGATGAAGTTCTTGGTGATCTTTTGCTGAAAGAACCCTTGAAGGAATACCCGGTAAATATCCAAACGATTTTTGACACTGACTATTTTAGTTATTTTTCTTTATTGGAAAAGGAATTTGTCATCAGTATTTTGAAGATTAAATTTAAAGTCATACACATATATTATATTAGTGTCTTTTTTTATTCCGTAAATCAATTACCCCCTAAAAAATATACGTCTGTTATTTGTTAGTTTTTAAAACTCCTTCAACTAATTCCAACTCATTCGACCATTTCTTTTGATTATTACTTGGGAAGAAAAATATACAATTTTTTTTTATTTTTATTATCTACCTTCTTTTGCTTGCATTTCTGGATTTTTCAAAACACTTTTTCTGCTATCCAATTTTTTTTTTAAACTTATCTTATAATAAGAGATAATAATGCTTTTTGTCTTTTGGTTTAATAACTTTTTAACCTCATAACTCGGGGTGGATAAATTTATAAATGCAAGACCTATGAGTTGTAAATAAAAAGTTTTGAAATATTCGATGAAAAATTACCAATTACTTAATGGTCGACCTTTTTTTTCAAGTATGAGACTGTATTGTGGTATTGAAACTGACCAATATTTCCAATTGTGCCTGTAGTTAGAACCAGGTGCGCCACTTCCACCGCCAAGTGCATTAAAAAGAAAAATCCTAATAAAGAACAAGAGGTTGAGTCCTGAGGTTGAAAAACAGGAGCTCGAACTCTTCAAGCAGGGTCAATTCGTTATAGAGGACGATTTCAAGGAAGATGCAAGTGCTCCACCAACCGTCACTCCCATAGTCGAGCAGCAATCGGTAAAGGTATTCCTTAAGTCACTCCTAGCATGGTGACCCTATTATTTATTATTATTTGTCATTACCAATTAGAGGATACCTAATAAACAGCTTAAATAATTTTACTCCTTATTTTCATCGTCATTTAGTTAAGAATTAGTTTATTGATTCAAAAATCCTTGAATACTCGAAAGCTGTGTTCTCACTTTAAAATACAGTAAATTTTTTCTAACCACGTTACATAAAATTTTGAAGGACGACGTAGCGAACGATCCAGTAGCCGCAGTTGCAATGGGCCAGCTGAAACTGTCGCAGCAGAGTGAGAGCCTTGAACTGGTGGTAACTCAACCTTACACCGGTAGTACGACGAATGTACATCCTTGGCTTTCGTCAATGGTGAACTACGCACAACCTATAAAGTTTCAGAGCTTCGACGAAGCCGAGCGTAAGTTAGTTTTTGAAACTCTACAAGATTTTAAATTTAATTTTTTAATTTTGGAAAAAATCATTAAATAAAAAAAACAAATATGTAGCGTGGGGTTTTAATTATAAAATTCTTGAAAAAACCTTCCTTATGCGATATTTTAAATTGTCTTAAAAGAAAAAATAATGCTTTTTCGATTAACATGTTTATTAGACTAATACAAATAAAGGTTGTCACTTTTCGCAATAAATATTCAAAACAAAAATGTTTGGATATTCATTAATGATTTTTCAAAATCTATATTTAACTTTTAGAATATCATTTAAAAATTGCTTTTACATTTCTTACCTTACAAGCAATTAAATTTTTTGTGTAATGAATATTAAATATTAAATACCCATCGTTTGTAAAAAAAAAAAAAAACTTA